CGTTCCACTGTGGTTTCTTTCGGAGTAGAACCTAGTTTGATCCTGTTTTATCAAAACATTCTAAAATAGGTTCCTACACCTTTCAATGGCCATTGTCTTTCATGATAACATCTCAGAGTATGTGAAATTATCCACCATAATTTAATGATGGCTATATCTTTTGATTTTGTTCTACTCTTCAATGAAAATCAATTACGTTATGAACAGTAGCTTTGATTTTAGCGCTGAAATATTTCCCCAATTAACGTACGTGGACTTGATATATTGCATTCACTTGAATGTTGTGACTGCGTAACGAGTTCTCAAAGTAATATTGACGTTCAACTTGTGTTTCCAGGCGGCATCGTGGCAGATCATCTTGATTCTTTGTCCCGCCTCTCATGTAGGAACACTTGGAGGATTAATGTACCTAGTGAGGAATGCATTTTTAGCGGTTACCTTCATCATCTCGGGATATATACTACAGAGACAAAGCGAGTGAGTCCATCAATGTGCTGATACATTCTTAGCGTTTATGACAAAATAAGTATAAGTACAAAATCAGATTATTTCATGAGAAATTTTCGCTGAAACCAGTCCCACTTGATTATGTTTTATAAATATAAATCAAGGATTCCAGGTTTTGTATTGCGTGTCGACTAGTTTTTTATAAATCTTCAAATTCCAGGTACATTGTAATTTTTGTATGTACTAGTTAAAACGAAACCTGATACGTAACGTTTTTCAAAACTGTTCTAAATGTCCCTGAAAAAGCAAAATACAAATTAATTCCTGGGACATGAAACGAAAGGCCATTGTTACTAAGAGTGTTTCGCATATGAATATATTTACATTTGTGTAACTTGTAACGATGTAAGAATGTATATCTGCCAGTCTGTCTGTTTCTTAAAACCATCCTAGAATTATCTTTACATTTTACAACTCCGCTGTTATAGTTAGCACATGATGAGGTCCATTGATGCGGCTTTTCCTCCATTTCTCAAATTTTGTCAGAGTTATGCTTCCACTATGTTTTCATTCTACAAATAAAGCAGTGTGGGGGTAAACTTTTGTTTGACCAACGCTAATACTTGTACTTCTAAATCTCTGGTGTATTTTCTTGGGCGATATCCTCTTCTTCATAGCATTTGTGACTTCTTACATAGACCAATCTTTTAAATAGTTTTAAATCTGTGTTCTTGGTGTGTGTGTATTGTGTCGTATTGCTTTATTCCAGTTGACCTTTGTGTAATTAGCTACATGTATCAATATTCAGATTAGTTTTATCAGAAATTATGTTACCAACATAATACTTTATTTTGCATAGAAAATATGCTGCATGTATGTCCACTGTCATACCTATTACAGGACAGACACTGAAGAGGCACTTCACAATTACAAGCATTTTAACCTTATGTTGGTAACCTTTTGTGCCATTTCTGTGATCTGCGGAATGATGATGAATCTGCTGGATATCCGGAAGGTAAATAACAATGAATATTAATATCAAAGAGAACGACGATTTATGTATCACATTTTTACTTTAGGCTTCATCTTATTCTAGAAGTTGATATATATCTCGAAACAGTCCCTAACGGTCGGCCATTGACGAAATGGCTTGAAGTTTTCTCCGTCAAATGTTTTATTGTGTTAACTGTATGATTTCAAGCTTGCTGCATTCCCAATTGAATGATAGTCACAAGTTGTATTTTCAGAGATTTCATTATTGATTCAAAGATGTGTCAAAATATTGACTGTATTAATTTAAAATAGCCTTTTCCCATTGGCCGTTAATCATTCTTTAAAATGTTCCAGGGGCGTTGGTTGTAGTTTTTCATCTGACTCATAAATTGTTTAAGATGATAACGTTTCGTCTTCTCCTTCAGTATTTTTGATATCTCACATATATTTATATTGTAAAGTAAGATTCTCTTGTTTTATATCGATTAACATCAATCTTTTCCACTAATCCAATCAAAGCAAGTAACAGATATACCATAATCAAACACATGACTAGAATATCATTATTATTAATTATAAACTCAACACTAGAATTTTTGGGATAATTTAAATTCTGTTCAGAATCTCATTTGAAAGCGTTTAATTTCTTTATTTTTATCTCTGTTATCGTCATTTTTACTGCATTTAAATGCCTCTAGCTTATCAGTCTTACGCTAAACCAATCGAGTTTGTAAGAAATTGTCATTATATCAATAAAATTTCTATTGACTAAATAAGCGAAACATGCTATTCGCTCTGAAAAGTTTTCTTTCTCGTTGTCGAATTGCCTATTGTGATTTCATTACTAGAGCCTAGATCCTCCCCTTCACGTTGCGACTTGTTGTGGACATTTTAAGGTAAACGTCCTTTCTCTACCTGGACGACTAGTATTTTTTGTATCCTTCTATCTTTTCACTATAAAACATTTATCACTACAATTTGTTCCATTCTACACGATAAGAGTGGTCACTGACATGCTTTTTTACCGGGTATGAATTATCAATGGTCACCAAATGAGCTACATACAACCTCCGTGTTATTCCTGTTTTTGCTGTTTTAGTCTGGAAATCTGAATGCCAGGGTACGCAGATGGCAGCAATCAGACAAGGAAACAGTACGTTTAATTTCGATGAATCAGCCATCCAGCAAGTATTCTGACGATGACAAATTGAGCGATGAATCGATGACAACAACTTGTAATAATGAATGACGCAAAAAGAGAAAACAGAGTAATTCCGAAAATGTTATTAATAATTCAACACGATGTCACAGCGTGAAATAAATGTGTAATAAATTTATTACCATTTCACGAATTGATAGATCAATAAGTGTGATTACTCGGATGTATAATTAAATGATTATTTCAATCTGACAAGTTTGTTTATTTTTTTTTCTGGGAACATACACTTGCATCCATCTAATATAGGCTATGGTCGAGTATACACGGTTTCAAAGGACAACCCCGTCTCTTCTACTGTAATCGTTTATAAGAAATCCATTAGGGACCGCTTTCAATTAAGTTCCACCTACATCCCCAACCTTTGGTGTTAACATGCCACAATAGATTCAATATTAATCGGCTCGTCTTCAATATCACGATTTCGGTAAATAATGTCGATACCTGTCCAATAACCTTACAACACAGAAAATTCGTAATATACAGGTTGAAGGAGAGTATCAGAAAGTTCTATGGTCACCGCCATCATCTCAATTGGGAATGTATCCATTTTCATGCGATAAAAAGTGAAGATTTGTGTGTGTGGTGGTATCGTTGGTGTTAGGAAGCATACCCATTTAACTCATTAAATATAAAGATGTTGTGACCAGTACATATTTAGCAGAAGCAACTTATGTAAGGGCCATCGTCCACTGTAGTTCGAATTATTCTGACGTTTCATCGACAATTTTTATATCGGTCTGGAGTCGATGAACATCAGAATTCTAGCCCCTTATAAAGTGGGGAAATAGGCATGGGTCGGCATTCAAGCGATAATTGTGAATATAAATCGTTCTGTTCTTCATTAACAATATCTTTAAACATGACAAGTCTCTTAATACCAATACACTCATTAAGCGTACAATTTCCACACCGTTCTCCGTTTAAGATTACGTTTGTTTAAGCCATGTTTCCTCTAGTCACGGTTCTTGCCACTTCGTGCGCATGCGCATTCGTTCAGACAAAAATGGTCTTCCTCTCCCACTTCACCTCTGTGCCATTTGTACGAAAGATGTAGCCATATATCAAGATCAAAACTTAAAGAGTAGCGAATGATGAAGACTACGTCAAGAAACATCAATGAAGGAACTAGTATTGGACCCTTGAGGATTCCATGTCACAGTTTTCGTCTTAGAAGTTAATTCAATAGTTCTTACTGATAACAAAAAGACATATGAACATCATCATTTACTCTCAATATCAACGACGCGAGGACAGGATTTTAAACAACGACAAACTTTACTGGGAACTTTTTTATTTTTTATATTTTAACAGAAATTCTGTGATTAAGATCTCCCCTATCGTAATTCGTCTTTTAGCCAACACTTCATTTTACTTCAACAAGTATTGTACTACAATCTGCAATGAACCGTTCATTCTAAATAATTAGTTGGTTTTTTACAAATCTTGTATTGATACTTCGGGTCTTTTTTCTCTCTTAAATGTTTCCGTAGACAATTAATCCTTACAAGCTGTGCTTGTTTACAGGAGGAAAATTAACATGCACAGTGAAAGTTACTCATTATTCAAAATGTAAATCATCCTATTAATGAGCCAAGGAAAGGTATTTGCTCTGGTGAGAGGGAGGCCACAGATGGGATACATCCGAATGATTGTTCCTTGTGTTTTTTATAGCCAAAATGTTTTTACAAAATCTAGTTTTCCGCCTCCCATTAAACAAAATACTGAAAATGTAATGGTCTGCCTCAGATGATATAGATACTGTGACTTTAAATAGCGGTCGACTAGCCATGTACTACTTTATAAAAGTACAACGTAAATTAATACACGATATGTGTATTAGATGATAAGAGTAAGATGACGGCAAGAAACCTACGTCACATCTAATACATCTTAATTACCCATGACGTAATACAGATCATAAAGACGGGGAATACATTACAACAGTATGTAGATGAAAGCCCACTGGGCATGACCTAGCATAAATGAAAATATTGCATAATCATTCGACAGTATTAAGGTTCAGTTAATACATCAACATTTACATTCAGTAAACACTTCTGGTAATTGAGGTCAAGGCTAGTCATCGTCTTTTATAAAGCTTAATCATGCATGAGAGTCTAGTATTTACAGTTCGGCGTAACCACACACCGTTTTACCAGGTGAATGTCCTTTAAGTAACATAATCTTCTGCAGTTATCTCCAGTTCAAGCAGCGATAAATACAACTTCGCCCAAGGACACACTTAGTAGGTGCTCATTGGAGTGTAACCGCTGTATGGTAACTATCTCCAGTAACAATTGTCAGTGTGTCCATTTCTCCTCCAGCGTTCTGTCAGCACAAAATGGAGCGTACTTACCTGTACAACTTCGAAGCAAACAACAATGTCTCCTTTAATGTAATCGACTATGTTGTATTCGGGGCAACGCTCCTTGCGTCCGCCGCCATTGGATTGTATTACGCCATTCGAGATCGAAGAAGTGATGACGCTGATGACTTTTTATTGGCAGGACGGAAGATGCATTACCTACCTGTGTCTTTGTCTCTCTTGTCAAGCTTCATCTCTGCAATCACGCTTCTTGGAACTCCCGCCGAAGTCTACCGCTACAACACAATGTACTGGTGGATATCGGTCGGCTTCATCATCGCTGCCTTAGGGTCAGGTTACATCTTCATCCCCGTTTTTTACAACCTTAAAGTCACCAGCATCTTCAAGGTGAGTGTCATGACACAAAATCAATTTCAATAATTTTTTTTCAATATTCACATAAATTCAAAACATCAATTTTATCAACAACTTAAAAATCAGTATAAGTCAACAACATAGCCAATGTCGCGTCAGGTCAGTATCACATCACAACGTCGATGGCATCAACATTCGTCACTAAACAACATCAATGACAGTAATACTTTAAAATCCATCATTGGGAGGTCGAGAGGCGCAGTGTAAACATGCTCGCATTTCATCTAAGCGTCAGGAGTACGATTGCGAGACAGGACGTGAAAAGGCATAGGGATCACTTGGGTTTCGTGGGTGCTCCCCCGGGTTTACCGGTTTTCTTCCCAATAAGACCATATGTGCGCTTCCATCCGGCCCAACAAGAATGATTTTATTAAGTTAGAAAAAAATCGATGTAAAATAAATTCAGTTGATTTTAATTTAATTTCATTACCTAACAGAAACAATGTGAACAAGACTTTTAAGGTAGGTTACAGCTTACAATATACAGCATCAAAATAATCAATACTTCGCGATGTATTTAATGCATATTTGATAAAGTGGTTTAAAGGGGTTGTATATTATTATTGTCCTGAAAGCTAATGGTCTCGAAATCTGCGCTGTAATTTCACCACCGGCAAATATTTCGACAAGATTTCCGAGGGAAAAACACTTATCATTAAATATTATTGACAGTTCTGGTCACAGCGCTATACTAAAAAGAAGAGAAAATGTTTTTCGCATTTACTGTTAGCTTGACCATTAAAACATCATAACACTTAACAATAGTGATTTGTTTAGACAACAGAAATGTATCCCTTTCGGATATAGGTTTTCATGAGAACCTGTGTATTAGTCTTGTTCTGGTATGTACAGCATGTTTAGTTTCACATTGATAACTTGTTAATGTATACATTAGACTGAAAATATAGCACATCACTACCGACAAGTGAACAAAATCACAACCCAAATTAAAAGTTCATGAGACAAAATCTGAATAAAATAATATTAGCTGGTGGCCCTTGAAAATGTACAGGGAGATTGTGGCCGGGTGTTTAGGGAAGGTTAAGCATCTTTTGGTGTATCAACGACAACCAACAGTTAAATATTGGTCAATACAAGTAAGTATAGTCACTTTAACAAGATTGATAACAACAAAAAAGTTGGGGAAGTTATTGAATGTATTTGAAAAGACCAAAAAACGGCGAATCCTTGTAAGGTTTAGATGATTACAAGAAATTTTCATACCGTCAACTTTTTAAGAATTATATAAGAAATAGATAGCTATCTACCACAACCATACTTTCTATACAATCATGTGGCCGATTAATGGTTGGTATTGCGTGCCTACATTTAAGGGTTATATATGTTTTGTGCGACCAAATGAGATATGTATAGTTGTTGTTACCCAAACGTTATCACACACTTTCATGTAGAATTTTAGCTTGTTACCAAAGTTGTGTAAAACTCGATAATCTTCAACAAGTCATAGTTTTCCGGATTACAATTTTTTCTGACAGCCGAGTTTAGTCAACCAACTATGTTAATCGAAGTCATTACCCTTGCATTGAATTCATAATGTGTTTATAACCTTTGCTGTGGATAGAAGTATTTGTTGCATGTCTGCTCGATATCAAATTCATGATTAACCTGTAATAACTCGCGCTTTCTGAATTTGATTTATGCTGCATACAGTGTAGTGACGTGATTTGAACCAGTTCAGATGCTAATTTGCTGTTTCACAAAACGATTCTTTTATCATCTTCTACGGTGTTTGGTTTGATATTTGGTCAGAGCGAACATCTCTCATACAGGAGGCATATTCATACGTTGGTCTACTAAAAGACGTGTACATAGTATTAAGAGTTTCATTGCTAACTCTATAGTTCAGTTGTTTTCAGCAGTAAATTAATATGAAGCTGATTTGATAACACTCATAACGTGGTCATATCAATTACAATTGCTTCTGAGACAGACACCAAGATCGTAAGTTTAGTGACAGTAAGTGGTTCGTTATTGCAGGTAAGATTTGGTTTAGTATTAAGACGTCAGGAAGTGAAGAGAAGTTCTGCATCAGCAACTGATCGGACGAATCTTGTAAACGTTGAATGTTATGGTTTAAATTTTGTTCTATAACGTTTAAAGAAAAGGTCCGTAAATCGTCTAGAAACAGTTTCCATAGGGTCGACAAGGTCATTAATATAAAATGAAAACAAAAGGGGGCCTCGGACTGATCCTTGCGGCACACCAGTGAATAAATAACATGACCATGACAGATTGCTGACGGCTAGTCAGCTTACTTGATAAACATGACAGCAGGACGACATGGAAAGATCACAAAACACAGACATGTTCTTTCTTGTGAATTGCAGAGGAAATATCATGCAAAAAAACGATCAACTGATCACTGTAGAATGACCTGGGATAAAGTTTGGGATACTTATTTTTAAAAATGCACCTTTGTATTATTAAAAAAAATCAAAAAGATTAAAAAAAAAAAAAAAAAAAAATCATTCCATCGTTTCTTTTTCCATGTAAAAGTATATATATACCTCACTACCCATCCACTCACCACCCACCTACCTACCTACCTACCTACCTACCCACCAATCCATTCACACACCCTCCTACATGTGTACCTACCTACAGACCTGCTTGTCTATCCCTTTCTACCTTTCTACGTATCTACCTACCTACCTACCGACCTACCTACCTCATGTGCCTGTGAGACCATTACACTTATAAGCGTATATCCTTAAAGATTATATACTGGAAACAAAATTAGATGGTGTCGTGTCAGATAATTGATAAGCTGTATAACACAACTAATTCGTCCTTGTCGGGCTTATCAGTGATAAGGGCCTCATTTTCGAACCAAGAAGGCGACTGAGGAAAACCACAATCAACCGAAAGAAATGCCAAAATCTAGAAAGGGGTGGGCACTGGCCCCTTAATCAATACAGAATTTTGATATATATTTTCTTAACCGTCCCATTATTCGAATAAATTAAAAGGTGACATGCAACAAGATTAGATGCAGAACATGTATATAATGATAAAACTTCTATTTATTACTAATATTTGTTTAAATACCCTTTTGCATCTATCAAGGATAGTATAGTGGTTCTGCTTTCATGATTACTTACTAGTTATATTTTCGTGTTATATTTCATCATTCTTATGGTGGTGTTCATTTTGTCGCTGCAGATGAGAATAATGGAAAAATAGATATGAACATAAAAATGTTGAAATATGACACGAAATAAAATGGTAAAAGGGCAAATCTTTCGATCGCGGGCGTTCCGGTCACCATACCTTTTTTTCTGTGTTTATTTCAGTATGTAGAGCTGAGATTTGGAAAGGTTAACAGATTCTCAGCCAGTATCATATACCTCTTATGGATGGTGAGTACCATGTAATGTCACTTATATCCGCTATAATTGCCATAAATCAACATAGTTTTAGGAGTAAGTGTGCATCTGCAGAATAATGCAGTGTGTTATTACCCGACAATTAGTACTCAGGGAACTGTCATTACATGTACCTTGTATCTTGTCTAGGGGGACTCTACGTATTCAGCATTCTTAAGCGAATCATCGCCTTTGATGACTTTTAAAATCTAACACAGTGTCTGCCTGATGAAAACAATAATAATTCATATGATAAGTAGTTTATGTTCAATATACACAAGAACCTCGTGTAGATGGTGAAAATCATATTTCGGTGTTACACATTTTGAAAAACCGATATTTTACATTGGTAATATCATGTTTAACAGCTTCATTAACTTAATGTGTCTATCTTTAGATTGGTTATTTCCATATACACTGACAAAATCACAACGACACAGTCGTCTTACTGTTATCAAGGGTATTGAACGTCATCTTGATATACCGAGGCAGCGAAATGTCTTTAATAAATTGTATATTATTCTTCGTGTTAAGTGTTTTGTACAAATGCGAAGTAATCAGGTTTCCATGAACTTAGTCCTCGTCTTCCAAGTACAAATGAATATAAATGAAATGCATTGCTTTGATTAAACGTCTAAGAAATTCAGTTTATTGGGGATTTTTTAAGCAAGCGAGAGTGTAACAGTTTAAACTAATTCACTGTAATGTTCAATTAGCTTTATTCTAACAAAAATGGAAAATAGAAATATTGAAGTTCCAGTTGCTTCACTTGGCGTTTAAACTCACTTAATTTGAATTAAAGAGTACTAAATAGAATAAATGATATGTTCTTGTAAGACTAAATAATTATTTGTAAAGTATAATGGCTGACATGGTAAGTTTGATCGGTATATTGATAGAAGGAACTAACGCCTCATTACAATCCCGACAGAACAAATTATGACAATTCTTCACACGATTTGTATCGGTAGATGCCACAAAATAATTAATGGACTTTTAAAAACTGAAACCATTGTAGATCATCAATTTAAACTTTCTGGCATCCGAGAGCGATGCATACAATTTATATCATGATTTCCTTCAAAGTCGTGGAATGTAGTAAGGTCTATGGTATTACGATTTAGGAATTGATAAATAAATAACGAATTTTCTGTATAAATTATAGATTTTGCAAGCAAATGTTACTTGCATATGACATGTCCTTGCTAAGGGATTTATATTATCAAACTGATGAGTCAATCATACTGGAATAACTTGTTTCGCAAATATATTAGAATACTTAAAAAAATCAATTTAAATTTATATTTATATCCTTATGCTGGATAATGCAACATTTTTTATCATCAAGTGGGAAATATGGCCATTCGTTGCACGGTCTAAAACTAGTACTATTTATATCAGAAACGTATTATCTAATAGATTACATGTTATATAATAAATTGTATCTTAATATGTAATAATCATATACAGTTTACATTTACAACTTAACCCATCTAAAACTCTTTCCTTATTTCATTCACTCTCGTTTTCAGATGTTGTATATGGCTGTAGTGTTATATGGACCCTCTCTCGCTCTCAATGCAGGTAAGTGACGTAATCCTGTCTGTAATTACACTGGTCGTTGTGACATCTCTCCAGGCATTTGATACGCGTTTGTTAAAGCTCAAATACCGTTTGTATAGTTATATGTTTTTTTTATAGTTACTGGTATGTCTTTGTGGGGATCAGTGTTCGCTGTAGGACTGGTCACCATCTTCTACACCACACTGGTATGTAACCACGTCAAATCGTTTCTCATGCCACATTAGTATGTGAACACGTAAAAAAGCAAAGAAAGTACTGATATGTCGATAGCAAGAATTATTCATATCAACTTTATTCCTATGCTAACATGATATACCACAAATCGTAATTGAGTTCAAAACAGAAAGTGGACTCTCTATGTGTGGTTTTGACCATAACCCCCTAGATCTTCCGTAGATAATAAATACATATTTTGAACACTAAATATAAGAAACCTAGCGGCACTTTTTCTCATAATCATGCATGACAAAAAAATGAAAAGTAAACATTTTAGAATCCCTCTTACAGCAATCCTATTTTATTATCAGACAAAAGAAAGAATACATATTTTTTTCAATGATTCCTAGCCATCTCGTACACTATGTACGTCATTGCTAGTACGCTTCATATTATCTAGTCATTTGTCTGACGATGGTGACCGTGTAGTTTTCGAAACGTCAAAATCAAATGTTCTACTTGTTGTGTTATAAGATGGTTTATTATATTCACATTATCAACCAAGAAGAAAATGTTCTAGAAAATTTGGATTGTCTTATATTAAGACTTGTTGCTATACACTATAACACAGGGAGGTATGAAGGCGGTGGTGTGGTCCGACTCTCTACAAATGCTCATCATGTTTGCGGGAATGATAACACTTTTGGTGGCTGGTTCTTTGAAGCTGGGAGGTCTGGACAAAGCATGGCAAATAGCCGAACGTAACGGCCGCACTCTTCTGTTGGAGTAAGTTACAGTTTATATCTAAAAAACATGAATATAATGAAAAGGAAATGATAGCTCAAAACTGATATTTGTGGACAAGATATACTTTTGTTTGTGTAATAATATACCCTTAACATCATGTATGTTGCAAACAGGAAGAAAAAAACCAGCAAGCTTCAGGATAGAAGTTACCTTTCCGCATTTGTTTGTGCAATATATACTTGACAATGAATAAGTATTCTGAACTTACTCTTGAAATCCAAGTGAAATTTCATGTTATTTTTATCTCTAGGTAACAAATACAATATCTTTCAGGTCTGAATTGTTGATATTGACCTACTTTATGTTTTTATTTGACCTACTTTCTGATAAGGTTTGACCCTGATCCATCTACACGACACACGGTATGGAGTGTTGTGATTGGTGGAGGCATTTTTTGGGGAGCTATATATGGTATTAACCAAGCTCAAGTACAGCGGGCGGTATCAGTATCATCTATCAGGAACTCACGTAAGTAAGTATTACCATATACTTTTGTATGTACATGTGAGTATTGTGATAAATTCATGAAGCATTAAGTATGTACAAAGAAAAGAAACATTGTCGGTATGTTGTACCTGACATCGGATTATTGTCAGTAGATAGGAACATGGTCGAGATAAACTATCAATATTTACATACCAAGGGTATATTGTCAGTAGGAATATCGTGTACCAGGAACAGATACCGGGTCAGAAGGTACATGATAAGTGTATAATTTCAATAGGTACATGGCGAGGTAACATTGCCGATAGGAATATGGTCGGGATAAAGCTTCAATAGTTACATGGTAAATGAAAGTCCGGACATAGTAAAGGTACGATGTCAGTGCGGACATAGTAAAGGTACGGTGTTTGAAGGTACGTATATATGGTAAAGGTACGATGTCAGTACGGGCATAGTAAAGGTACGATGTCAGTGCGAACATAGTAAAGGTACGGTGTCAGTACGGACATTGTAAAGGTACGGTGTCAGTACGGACATAGTAAAAGTACGATGTCAGTACGGACATAGTAAAGGTACGATGTCAGTACGGACATAGTAAAGGTACGGTGTTTGAAGGTACGTATATATGGTAAAGGTACGATGTCAGTACGGGCATAGTAAAGGTACGATGTCAGTGCGAACATAGTAAAGGTACGGTGTCAGTACGGACACTGTAAAGGTACGGTGTCAGTACGGACATAGTAAAAGTACGATGTCAGTACGGACATAGTAAAGGTACGATGTCAGTACGGACATAGTAAAGGTACGGTGTCAGTACGGACATTGTAAAGTTACGGTGTCAGTAGGTACGTATATATGGTAAAGGAACGATGTCAGTACGGACATTGTAAAGTTACGGTGTCAGTAGGTACATATATATGGTAAAGGTACGATGTCAGTACGGACATAGTAAAGGTACGGTGTCAGTACGGACATAGGAAAGGTATGATGTCAGTACGAACATAGTAAAGGTATTGTGTCTGAAGGTACGTATATATGGTAAAGGTACGATGTCAGTTCGAACATAGTAAAGGTATGGTGTCAGTAGGTACGTATATATGGTAAAGGTATGATGTCAGTACGGACATAGTAAAGGTATGGTGTCTGAAGGTACGTATATATGGTAAAGGTACGGTGTCAGTACGGACATTGTAAAGGTACGGTGTCGGTACGGACATAGGAAAGGTATGATGTCAGTACGGACATAGTAAAGGTATTGTGTCTGAAGGTACGTATATATGGTAAAGGTACGGTGTCAGTACGGACATTGTAAAGTTACAATGTCAGTACGGACATAGTAAAGGTACGGTGTCAGTACGCGCATAGTAGAGGTTCGGTGTCAGTACGGGCATAGTAGAGGTACGGTGTCAGTACGGACATAGTAGAGGTACGGTGTCAGTACGGACATTGTAAAGGTACGGTGTCAGTACGGACATAGTAAAGGTACGGTGACTGTAGGTACGTATATATGGTAGAGGTACGGTGTCAGTACGGACATAGTAAAGGTACGGTGTCTGTAGGTACGTATTCATGGTAGGTGTAATACGTTAAGCATCATGGTCAGGACACAGTATCAGTAATTCTAGAATTATCATTGAGATTCTCTAACGTTGATGATGAGCTATGTTTTACTTTGTTATAGGGCTATCTGGTTGAACCTTCCTGGTATGGCGATTATTTTAACCGTGGTTTGCCTGGTGGGAGTGGTTATGTTTGCATATTACGAGCGCTGCGATCCAGTAACCTTAGGTGTCATAAAAAGCTCGGACCAGTTAATACCTTTGTTCGCTATGGACTTGTTAGGGCCCTACCACGGACTGCCTGGTCTTGTTTTGTCATGTGTGTTCAGTGGCAGCCTCAGTACCATCTCCTCGGGACTCAATGCCGTAGCCGCTGTACTTCTGGAGGACTTCGTTAGACCATTCTATTCACATCCTATTTCCGGTCGTGGTTCCACAATCTTCTCAAAGGTGACCATTGTGATAGCAGGTTTCTGCTGTATTGGCCTCGCCTTCGTCGTGTCCAAACTTGGGGCCATTCTTCAGGTTGCTTACATCATGTTTGGAATCCTTGGAGGGCCACTGTTAGGCCTGTTTACTCTCGGGATGTTATTTCCTTGGGCCAACAAATGGGGAGGGCTTGTTGGTCATATTTTCGCTCTTGGCGTGCTAATGTTTATTGGATTAGGTACTAGATTTAATAAGGTAGTCGTTACCCCGCTATCACCTGTGACAACTTCCGGTTGCCACCCGAATGTCACCTCCACACTAACAACAGCAGCAGCTACACTAGCAACTACTTTAGCAACAACAACGGCCAGTCAGACAACCGAGTTAGTATTTTAATATATATTCCGAAAGTATTGAAACATAAAATCATTTTGGTCGTTAACAACATTTTGGAATGATGTAATTGTGGTCATGAATTTAACTCCAAACGCTTTAAATTGATATTACACGAGATTCCCATGAATTATGCTGAGGCAAGTCATCAGGCCAATCACCCTCGTTGTTATTCATATCATATATGAATGACATAAAGATTAGATGGCGAGGGAAACCATTCTGACAACTATACAGTGCTAATAACATGATAAAACGGTAAATTGAGCAAAGGAAATGCAAACTATTTCTGTATAAGAAACAGTGAAGCCAGTTCTAAATATTCTTGTAGTATCTTGATGTAACGAACTAACAGGGACCATGCAAATCTTTTCTTCACATGCAAATTTCATAACAAGCGTTTTTTTTTGTTTTCAAACCTACGCTATCGTCAACATATAACCTGTGTTGTCAATAAGGACATGGCATTTTCTCTGGTCTGCATGATGGTAAACGAGTTGTAGGTGATACTTTTGAGGTGTGACTGATGTTAACCTCCATCATAGTTGATGAGATATGTTGTAGATAATTTTCATACAAAATCTAGTTCTGTTTAAAAGCAGTTTCGTGAATGGTAATCAACGTTGTTAAGGCGATGATGTAGGAATAACATACAAGTTCTTTCTGTTTCAGGGAAGAACCTTTCTTTCTTTACCGGATGTCGTACATGTGGTATTCGCCACTGGCTGCTTTGATCACAGTTATAGTTGGTCTGCTTGTCAGCTTTTGCACAGGTTAGTCGCACTTCATAAACACTGACTGGTAAAGTGTGTTTCGTGTCAAACACACACACTCCCTATCTGTTATCTCAGAACAGATTATGGCTAATCCGACTTTCGTATTTTACAACATGTTGGTCACCGATATATTTTCCTAAGTAGGGAACGGTTCTGAACAGTTCACCCTCGATGTGTGCTCACACCAATAGGGTATTCTTAGGCAAACAAACACCGGCATGAGGAGCTTTTTGTAGAAACTTCTCTCGAGGCTTCGGAATAAAAGATTCCTCGTGCGTTTAAAATACCGAAGTGTTATATATAGAGCCTTTGTATGCTTAGTATGATTCATTAAAATGCTGTGGGACGAGCATTATTTGAGTATGGTATTTTCTGCCTGGTACTGGTATCATGTGACTGATGGTTGTATGCTATGTCAAATTCTATCACAACATTTATGTTGGAGAATGTCTGATGGCTGACATTAGTATAACCCAAGTCTCAAGAATATCTAACAATAACAAAAGTTGAGTCTCATCATTCTGACCTCTGTGTCTGATTCTAGAGTTTCTGAGGTAGGGAAGTACGTTAGTAGAAAAATGCAATGAGTATTTTCAAAGAAAACTTGGCTGGTAGACTGTCTAGGTGTTGACATCAATCAGTCATGTTATTACCCTGATCTTGTATTTAAAATGAGGTTTATTTGTACAGGCGCCACCAAGACTGAGGAGCTTGACCCACGACTCATCTGCCCCTTCTTTGATGTATTCTTCCCTTGCCTACCAGAGAAGACCAGGAAGTGGCTGCGGTTTGGTGTTCGACATGGGGAGGTAGGCATCTGTGCCGTGGACACCCGCACACTTTAGACATGTTCATGTATAATTTTATCAAGGAATGCTATGATACTTATAAATATATGCATATATGTGCTTGATTCATAAAAAATAGGAACTTAAAACCATTTGTTTATTGTGTCAAAACATACAAACGTAATTGAAAAGTAAGTAAAGGCATATATGTTAGATATTTGTTTTCAAGTATCAGTCTTACGTTGATATGAAAAGGTATGCTAGTATGATTTATATCTCCAATAAAAATTTTCATCCAGTGAAGAACCAAATATAATTAGTTACAGAAAGACGAGAAGACAACTGCTGCTGAGAGGTCTGGGAACGTTGGTATGGAAAACGCAGCCTACTTCAACGATATCGATGACGTCACCAAAGAAAGTGTTACTCCCGAAAGTGGCCATGTTAAATCTAAAGATACCAAGGAAACTAAGTCGAGTGTGACAACTAGCACGAATGGTATCAATAACACTCTATATCCCTCCATCAACGCACACTCTACCGACCTATGAGACTCTTGACGATGGACGCGTTTCACATATCTTCGATCGTGTCAAGATTTCAGAGTACATTTCATTTATTTACAACGTACCTTAACTATGTATTTAGAGTAGTTTTACATCCTTTATACAGTTACTCATCAGACTTACCTGTATCGGGTGCTAACTTTATTTAAGCAGTCCCACGCCGCTTTCAATGTTTATCATATGATATTGTATTGTATATCCAATTATTAAGGTTTCTACTTCCAATAACAAAAGTATTTTATCCTGTCAGAATTTAGGAGCAAAATACAACAGAGTCAAGAAGTACATGTACCACGTGGAAACAATAGTGACTGTTTAAATACCATTCAACATCCTTTTTTAATGTATTCTGTGTGCATGGATTCGCGTCAGTGCACACTTAACAATGTAAACCCAAATTCTATATTACATAACATGCACTGCTTCGTCCAATTTCAGGGTCATAGGAAAGAAATTTAATACCTGTGTTGATTTAATCATGTTTGTATACGACGTTGTACACGGCATGCTCTTGCCGTGATATCACCTGAGGATTTCGGTATGACACTCATGCAAACCCTTTGTAAGATAAAAAAAAAAGTATCATGTATCATGTAGCTGTCGTGACATCGCATGCTATCGTTATTAAGATCTCCTAAACGTCGACTCCATTCTTCCCGGGTAGACATCGTGCGTATACAGACTGTCTGACTGCAGAGTTTGGCACGACATCTATCATGTATGACTGTAAGATCAGGTACAACTTCTTTAGGATCAAGTCCATCCACTGTAACGTATGGCAGGAAAGTCAGGTATAATATATAATGTATGACATAGTTCCATGTGTTCACTCAACACAACAATGGCATAGATCCATGTATTCATTCAACACATCAATGACATGGATCCTTGTATTCACTCAACACAGCAATGACATAGATCCTTGTATTCACTCAACACAGTAATGACATAGATCAATGTGTTCACTCAACACAGCAATGGCATAGATCCATGTATTCACTCAACACATCATTGACATAGATCAATGTGTTCACTCAACACAGCAATGGCATAGATCCATGTATTCACTCAACACATCATTGACATAGGTCAATGTGTTCACTCAACACATCATTGACATAGATCAATGTGTTCACTCAACACAGCAATGGCATAGATCCTTGTATTCACTCCACACAGCAAAGGCATTGGTCAATGTGTTCACTCAACACAGCAATGACATAGATATTGATGATTTGTTGTCAGTGATGCTAATAATAAGATCGGGAAATGTGTAAATCTAGAAGTTGATATAGAGCGTAAATGAACAGCAAAGAAATGAGATCAATCGGATTTAAAAAGCTAGTAATTTCAAAAAACCTGAAAGAAAAATAGCTTTACACCGTGGAAGCAAAAAGAACGAGAGAGAAAACAAAAAAAAAACTGTCGAGAAAAAAAAAGTGTATCAATATATCCTGTTGTAGCAATGTAACTAAACTGAAATTTAAAAAAGACGATAAAAGATTAGAACGACTAGCAAACTGGAATTACATTTCGTATGACGAAGAAACCAGCGTTCAGACGATTAATGTGAAGGACTGACCCAAAAGTTTAAAAACAGTACGATAAATAATCAGAATGAAGCATTGTAGTGGGAGAAAAGGACCAATCCTGAAGCTTCACAATACATGTATTATGACAAAGAGGACAAAATAAAAACAGGCGTTAAGTAGAAAATAGTACCACAAATAGGGCGATTAAGGAATGACACACAAAACCAAAAGTACTTATAAAGGAATTGCTAAACATTGAATATTAACTTTAAATAAACACCTAGTATCCAATGAATAAAGTCAGCAAGGATAATATAACCAGAATATATTTACAGAAATTAGAAATTTACCAAAGTATACTTAGTATGTAATATAGGCTAATAACATATTAGGTATGCTTAGATATACACATATAGGGAAGAATTCACTAATAGAGTGTAACATCAATTGTTATATATATATATATATAGAGAGAGAGAGAGAGCGAGAGTTAATGACGATACGCAAGTGATAATATAAAGAAAATTGTTTAAAAAACACACAAAAGAAAATGTTAAGTTAGCATTTTGCATGACGTCATAGATTCTTTGCATAGTTACATTGCACTGAGGAGCAGCTAAGCTGTGAAAACGTTATGTAAAATGCTAATTGAACTTTTTCTTGTGTGTGTTTTTTTAAACAATTTTCTTTATATATATATATATATATATATTCATTACAGTGAAATTTGCAACGATGATTCTTTCGATATTGCCAAGGACAAATATATGCAAAATTATTCTTTCATTATGCGAGAAAGTTATCTATTTTCTTATTAAAAATCAGTTTTGCTGTATGTAAGGTTGACACCAATATTTCAAAGCTGTATAACATCTGTTTGCTCGAAAATGTTTGTAATTTTGGTATAGTATGCGTCTCTGTCCACAGATGCCCTTACTAATTATATATTCGAAGCACAAGCTGATATTTGAGTTATAACCATTGCCTCGCTCATTGTGTCCAACTTACATATCAAATGGCATGAATATTCCAATTCTCATGTTAAGAAGGTTCCTTTTAAATGTTGATGTTATATAATTGTTGTTCTACACAAAATTGAATTTAACGTATGTATAATTTACACCACATTATGTAACAACATTGCATTGTATATATTTAAGACCGCAGGTGTCATTATTTCCCTGGGTCTAGGATAACAAGTTGAATAAAAATAATATAAAGGCAGCAAAACTCCGTATGTTTTAACTTTATCTAATACGACATGGCTAGTGCATCATTTGTTGCATATGCTGTAAACTTCTAGAATAAAGGTTACATCAAAATAGGTGGCACCACATCTATCATTAGATTACACCACGGATGTAAACGATATTAATGTAAAGTTACACCAGGAAAGGATTCCCTTTTGGTGCCACCTTTTTTGGTGTAACCTTCTTCTAAGTACAAGTGTTACCCTCATACTTTACTGGTGTTACCTTCATCCTTCACTGGTGTTACCTTCATTCTTTACCGGTGTTACCTTCATCCTTTATCAGTGTTACCTTCATCCTTTACCGGTGTTACCTTCATCCTTTATTAGTGTTACCTTCATCCTTCACCGGTGTTACCTTCATCCTTTATAGTGTTATCTTCGTACTTTATCAGTGTTATCTTCATACTTTACCGGTGTTACCTTCATCCTTTACTGGTGTTACCTTCCTCCTTTATCAGTGTTACCTTCATCCTTTACTGGTGTTACCTTCATCCTTTATCAGTGTTACCTTCATCCTTCACTGGTGTTACCTTCATCCTTTACTGGTGTTACCTTCATCCTTTATTAGTGTTACCTTCATCCTTCACCGGTGTTACCTTCATCCTTTATCAGTGTTACCTTCATCCTTCACCGGTGTTACCTTCATCCTTTATCAGTGTTACCTTCATCCTTCACTGGTGTTACCTTCATCCTTTACTGGTGTTACCTTCATCCTTCACTGGTGTTACCTTCATCCTTTATCAGCGTTACTTAAACTCCAACTAGGGTAACCTTAATTTATAATTAATGTAAGCTTCATGCTTTATCAATTATTTTTATTTCGGGTCATCTCTATTTGGGGTATACATGTTTGCGGTCGTAATTTTTTGCGCTTGTGTATGAATGAGTATCACAGTAATCAGGCAAATGATAAATATGAAATCACTTTGCGGGGTATTTAATTTCGTGCTACCTTTAACAGCCGCATATAGAGCAAAATTAAATCCCCTGTGAATATTACCAACTACACAATATATCAAAACCTCTTCCATGTAAACACAACAAAATTGTAATAAGTCATCTGTCTCAAATCCCTCGGGTCTTTATTTCTAGGGTGCAAAACATTAGATAATCAATCTTTTTACAATGTTCAGTAATTACATAAGGTATCAGTAACATTTTCCATGTAAGGCAATGAGACACATAGAAAAAACCAGAACTTACAAAGATCATGCATCAATAGAATTTGGACATACCAATATCGTCTATCGACTTGGGGAAGTCAAAATATCTTACGGCTAGCGTAAAGCGCGCGGTTTTTCAGCTTCTCACTCGCACAAACGCTTTAAAAGCATCTGGGTGACCCGGTATTTTGCAGCTAAAGACCAGGTCCCACTTGTATAAAACATCTCAACTTGAGATTTCCTCAAGTCGATATTTTCCTCAGCTGATATCTCCTCAAAAACGGCTTGTATAAAATTTTCTCAAGGAACAGGAGGAAGTCATCGTCTAGGATGTCCTGAAATTCTCAAGTTGAGATGTTTTATATAAGTGGAGCCTGTTCATTAAGCGGTCAGAACGATTCGTTCAAAAATGCATTTGTTTACTGAAAGCATATGGCGTAACTGATGATGATGACTATTGCAAATACAGATTTTGCATTTTATTGTAATTGCCCATCATATTCGACAAGAAACCATTTGGTGTTACGTCGCTCCACACGGTGTAAGGTGACGGGTTTCAGTACTGATTTGGTGTAAAAGTCATTCCCTTACTGTGTAAAGTAACACTTTTAAGTGAAAATTTGGTGAATGCCGCACCCGTGAGGTGTAAGGTAACATTAAAGGTATCAATTTGGCGTTAAGTCATTCCCTCACAGTGTAAGGCAACATTTTTTGGTGAGAATCTGGTGTAAAGTCACTCTCTTACGGTGTAAGATCACGTATTTACAACAAATGTCGGTATACTATACACTCTTCTTGTTATGATTAACTTTATATGAGAAATGGTGTAACGCTAAATTTTACACCAAAATAGAAGTGAATTTGCACGTTAATAATACCATATATGGATGAACATAACACCAAACGTTTACAGTGTAAGAAGTAATAAAAAAGAAAAGTAGCTTATATTAACTAACAAGAGCTGAATTCAATGAGAAAAAGCTAAAATAACGTATCAGTAAATACGCATCGGACATAATAAAAATTATTTCATTATAA